TACAGTGGCCACTTATTTTCTTCTACCAGGAGGCAGGAGAAACTAATACCAATACAGGTTTCCCTCACTTTATGCTGTACATGTGCTCCTGGGAAATGGCACTTAACTCGAATTTGTATAAAGGGAACCCACTTTACAATATAACAAATAGGGATACATCCAAGACCTTCACTGTACTGACCCCCTCAACTGTACTGATGTGGCATCATGCTGCTCCTAGGGCAGCTGCAGCTCCAGAAGCATGGGCACCAGCTGACCTGAGCAGCGGCTGCAGGTGCCGCTGCTGGGCGGCGTCATGGCTCACAGCGCCTGTGGTGCTGTGCTGCCAGGGCCAGACCGGGCCAGTGCTGCAGCCCAGCCCAGCCCAGCCCAGGCACCACCACACGGCTCAGCTCCCCGCAAATAATTTTCTTCCTCCACCTACAGTATCACTCCCACAATGCACCAAAAAAAGCAGCTGACTGCAGGCTTCCACCAGAGGAATTTCGTAAGATTGAATTTACCTCGTATATAATGAATGTTTGGTATAAAAAGGGTCACTGCATAAGAGTCAATTTGCACGTAAAGAACCCGCATAAAGCAAGGGAAACCTGTAAGTACTTCAGCCTAGGTTTTAATAGACTGACTCCACACCCATGATTATTTCTCTGTGATCCCAAACTATCCTGGTAGATTACCAGGTGGCAGCCGCAAAATCTGCTCTCTCAAATACATTGCTTCCGCTTTCTCTCCCAGTTTTGAGGAAAGAATTTTAGCAGAGAATTTCCAGCAGGCTAGAAATTAACAAGGGGAAAGCTAGGATTCCAGGTGATTTAGTGTACTTTTTTTCTTAATACAGGGCACTAAAATCTGTTCCAATGTAAAGGGTGCTTTGGGATTATAAAAGAAAGAGATTAACAAGAATTACTGGATTTGTATGCCTACCATGCAATTTACTTCACCAACAGACTCAGATTTCCCAATTTGCAAGGAAGGAATACACCTGGAACAGGTTTAATGGTGTATTTAGAGCATCCTACCTGGGTTAAGACTTCAGGGATGCTGCCATTCAACTCTTAACCTCACTTTGCTTTCAGTGAAAGCAAGAATCTTGCATAAAGATCCACAAAAATAAGGCGCATGCAATTTTTCCCCATTATCCCTATTGTTACATGAAGCATGGACTGAACTTACACAAGAGACCCTTCAAAATGAGAACGGTTTCATACCTGAAGTACTGCATTTTCCTGCTTTAGTTTTGCAGCATACTTTTCAGCTTTTACTGCTCGCTTCTGGAATAGAAGAGGGGTTGCTTATACAGCAGTACAGCCAAGGATATGCTGGCACTTGCCAAGTATAAAGTAGCTCCTGCCCTAGGGCACATGTTATCCAGCATGGCATGGACTAGTGATGGGGGAAGAGGTAACATACAAGTCAATGCAGATCAGCAAGTCACATGGTTTGTTAGTTACATGTGCTATTATTACCTACTAATCTCTTCCCCACCTTCAGTTTGAGCCTTCAGGAAGGAAGCCACCTACTTTTAATTAAGTAAATGACTTGGCTTTTACCTTGCAGGCATTGCCTGTATTAAGTATTTGTAATTTGAACCTAGCCTGGGATGTCAGGTATTTCCAGACCTCTGCATAGACAGAACAGATTTTACGTCATTTGTATTAATTCTGCAAACACCCCTCCCTCAAGCAGCCCCAACATAACATTGGGATGCTTCTATGGTAAAATTTAGTGGCGTTATGCTGACATCTATGGCTTTACAAGAATGCTTTGTTCCAAATTGAGCGAGCAAACGCATCGCACTATGTTGTACCAGCCCCACCTGATGGAATTTTCCAACTTTTGTCAAAAAAGTTAGCCTGTAAGATACTTCATGCAAGTGGGCTATAAAGCTTGGGACTTTAGGGCGACACGTCAAGCATGCTTTATGAATTGCTGCACCCACTGTAACACACACAAGGATGAATGTAACCAGTGAAGACAATTCTGAGTAATCTAACTGAGCTTGCTCAGGTACATGTTCTGAGCCTTTTCTTATAAAGCAGCAATGAATTGTTCAGAGGCATTTTGGAGGAAAGTCGCAGAGGTCAACCTAGAGCGTAGTCATATGCTACAAATACATAAAGAAACATTTACGGTCATCAACTGGAGATTCTGTTCCACATGCTGGACCATGGCTTCTAGATCCTGGGCTTCCTTTTGCTCTTTAATCTTGTTCTCTTCTAGTTTTTTTTCAAGCTTCCTTACCCTTGTTGAAGAAGGAACATAGTAAAAACACTCACTTGCATTTAGTACCATATTAGTGTTGCAGGTAACAAAACCCTAGCAAAAGGCCAATATTTCTGTACATTCCTGGAATGCTAAGGGCTTCCAGTTGAGACAATTATTTTCAGCGCACCACAAAAAGGCCATTTTCTGAGGGGCACAGTGAGGTCTCCACGCTGCAGCTCAGGGGATTGGATTGTTTGACATCCATTAGCATTAATGGAAGTTGCACAACCAAACCCCTGAATACTGCGTACAGAGCACTGCTGTTCACAGTCAGTGTATATCATGCAGCAAGTGACAGCTACCAATCCACTTCCATTAGAAGCTGAATTGCTGCAATATAAGAAGCAGGACAGAGCAAGCCAGGAAATCTATCATTAGCTCACTTGTGACCAGGGGAAATTCAAGCCTTCTACTGTCAGTTTCTTTAAGATTTAACATACAACACCAACTATAAGCAAATTCTGTCTTTTTTTTTTTTT